GAGGCTAGAGGAAAAATCCTCTGCCCCCGTCGGGGATCGAACCCCGGTCGTCCAGCCCGTAGCTAGTCACTATACTGACTGAGCTATCCCGGCTCATCATATCTTCAGAAGTAATCACTCATTTAAGTGTCCTCTTGTATGATGAACACATTATATGCTTATCAGAAGTTTGCTTTTGTTGCGATCGAAGAACATTTCTTAAATAAGTCTTGTTGCAACAAAGTTTCCTCGGGCAACCACTGGCATTACACATTTCTGAAAATGTCTTTGTCTCCATCTACCCTGATGATGGTGGCACAGATTCACCAAAATGCTAGATTGTAACTTCATACTTACAAGGTTAATAATCAACTGAAAATACTACATTGTATTCAGCTGCTGTGAAAGCTTACAATCTTACATGGTGTGCTTTTGTATGCTTGTACGAAGCTATTTCAATTTAAAAGAATGTGAAATGTCAGATGAACAAAATATTTGTTCAACAGATTACTGAGAACTTCAAAACTATTCAAAGTTTTGTCACGAATTTTTCATTCACCCTACGACATCCTGAGAAATTCCTTTACGCTTGCACATGAAAAGTAACGCTAAGCATTTTGTAATATTTTTATCAAGATATCTTCCATACAACTTCTTGCCACGAAGACTTCAATCATCACTGTACTCTAGCTGCACACATACCAATTAATTTTTTCTACCAGGTGTGGCAGAGGAAACAAATGTTTTTTAAAATAATAACTCGGTTGATTTTCAAGTTAAAAAATTTTAATTACACAAAAAGAAAGGTTTTATAATGAACATTTTTGAATTACTTCCGAAAAATAACGTCCGTCAAGTGACGCCCTTCCGTCTGTACGCACTCTTGCAGCCTCTCCTCGAAATTCTGCATTGCTCTTCCCAACATTTCTTCCCCCACAGTAGCGATTTCCTGGCAAATGGAATCTTTCAGATCCTGGATGTTGCGTGGTTTGTTTCTATAGACCTTTGATTTGAGGTAACCCCACAAAAAATAGTCACATACGGACAGGTCAAGGGAGCGAGGCGGCCAAGGGATATCACCGAAACGGGAGATGAACGGCAATTACGGATTCACCACTTTTGATATAATTTTCGACAAACACCCTATGCTCGCAGGTCTACGGTGCCATGGCTACTGAAACTCAATCATCTAAGCTGTCTACTAGCAAGAGGCGGAAATCCCCCACTCTCCTCCTTGCCGAGTACTAGTCATTCGAAAAACATGCATTTCCTCTGCCGCACCCAATATCTACCTCACTTAAGTAGCTTTGATGATGTCTGAATTCATACAAAGCAGCACATGCAAACACATTTCAGAGCGGACTACATTCCCATACACTACAAGCATACTTATTATACAAAACCCTTAAAAGAATTACAAATTTATTCAACCACAAGCAAAAAACACCAAAGCTATTATTACCCTTTCTTATAATTATACAAATTTTTATACGAGCTGCCTACACAACATTCAAAACACGAATGTGTCGACAATTGTCTCACCACGTAGTCAATTAGACATTTGGCGAGCGCATGAAGTCTCTTCTTCAGCGAAGGCTCATCACGGTAGCGAGAACTTCTGGTTGTACCGGTACCTCCGGTGTTGCGCCCGCGGCTGCGCCTACTGCGTGAGCTTCTATCATCAGAGTCCTCTTCACTGTCAGAGTCCTGTGGGGTACAAAGTCCACTGCACATATTCAAAATGTCCTTACGAAAAGCGAATTTCAGGAAATACACTTGCACATTTCACATTAAATCTCTTACATCTTTCTTCCAAATTTTGTTCATTATTTCTAGCAGTATCACTTATTACAACAACAAAAAATCAAATACCTTATATATTAAACAACATAACATGCTGATAGAGAAGAACACTTCTTCTTCTTCTTCTTCTAGCACTATTTCCATTTCATACACATTGATGCTCAAATTTCAGTTTATTAAAATACACAAACAATTCGATTGCTTACACATTTTAAGGCCATTAGAACCGTGGCATAATACATGCAGCCATTTAACTAACCTATACTACATTTGTAAGAGTGAGGTGGGTTACCTGATCAAAATCAAGCAGTTCCTGCACCTTAGCCTGCATAATCTTCTGCAGCTTGACTGCGTCCTGTACATAACACAATTATCAACTTATATAAGTTTCACCTCTCCGCAAAACCACAAATTGCCTGTAAAATTGCACGGTATTTTTACTTTTATACCTTGCACTGTATTCAAAATGGGAAATAATCTCAATCATTGTGAATGTTCACAGACATTAAAAAGTGGGGGGGGGGGAACATTTTTTGTTCTACCCGAAACATCAGAGAGTAAACTTTAACGACAAAGATTTCTTTCAGAATGTATTAAAAATTAAATCCGTGTCGTAACAGCTCCAGAGAGCCAAAGCCGACTAGCTGGCCGCTGGCCTCACGTTCACATGCCTAAGCAGAGGTGAACGATCATCCGACCAGATATAGGGTGACATGTGGTCAGCACGACGAACCCCCAGCCATTGCTAGCTTTCCTGACCGGATTACGCTACTCATTGTAGCTCCCCAATTTCCTCACAACGCAGGGTTGGCACCGGTAATACACTGGTCAAAACCTCATGAGAAAATTTCTTCTCCCCTAAGACTCGAACCAGAGCGCATTCCGTATCGCCGGTCCGAAGCATGATGCCTCAGACCGCGCGGCTACGGCACCGGACTCTTTCAGAATGTATACTTACCTTATAAAGACGTGAGTCTGGACGGTTATACTTCTTTGCATTTTCAAACATTATGTTCATGTCACCAGCTACTTCACTCACTGTACCATAATCGCCACGCTATAAAAAAGGAAAATTTAGAACTTTAAATATTGGTACAGGACATTCTTCTTGCCTGTTCTGCAATTCTAATTTAAATACTTGTTAAACGTCTTTACATCGATGTTCGGCACTGTACGATGGAGACTGCTGAAATAATACAAGTACCAACATACTAAAAACAAAGCAAAATTTTCTACAGGATCCTCAGTCATTGTCATAAAATAAGACCGTACACTAACCTTCAGTTTATTCCTGATCTGCGACAAAGACACAGGGTTTTTGATTTCCTTGTAGTAATCAGGATAATATCTCTTAGATGGCAGCTTCCAGAATGGTTCACTTAGGGGATGACCTAAACAAAATATTTTCAGTTTTAAAACAGTTTTATCACAACAGAAGAGTTTGTGAACTTGTGCCTATTACCAGCTTCGAAACCAAACTTCTACTTAGTTTGTAATAATGTCACACCAACACCACATTAATATATTTTACTTTCTTTATATAATACTTTTATACTGTTGTCAATTATTTAAAAAACTGAAGATGAGGTAACTATGTTCCTCTAAAATGTCTGCATGCAGCCAAAATGCAAAATAGTGCAACAGTCCAAAAAAACACCTTGGTTATTGGTGGTGTTTTTTATCGTTTCATACAGCTGCCAGCGAGGATTATCTGCGTCTTCAAGTGCCGTATCCTCCTCATCCATTGGACCACCATCATCTGACTCTTCTTCCTCATCACGCAAGGCAGCTGTGATGGCAGACAAGGACTGGACTCCTCGCATTCGTTTGTTCCTGCAATAATCCCAACATTCTTATATATTGTTACTACACGCATCAGATACAAGTTCACTCAAAAGTTTCATTTAATTCAATTTCATTTCTTAGATATACCGTAATCACCGCACAATTACATAGGACATGTCACAATCTAACAAAAGCATTATTACAAAATAAACAAAAAACAAAAAGGAAAATAAAACAAGTACAGTATCAGATTAAGGTTAATACAGCACTTACATGAAAAAATACCAAAAAATTAGGAAGAAAAGAGCAAACACCATAACATCAAAGAAATAACTGCACATCACGATAATAGGATATTATAAAACTGCACGTAGGTACCAAAAAATTTGGCAAAACATACCACCTCCAACTTTGGAGCCACAAAACCATAAGCCCAACATCCTAAAACAATATCTCCGTTACATTAAATTTTATAAAAAAAAATTGATGATTTAGTAAATATGACATTATTATTAATTCACTGTTCATTTTATTGACATTTCTGTTTCAAGAAAGTGCAGTTTCACTCTCGAGCCTTTTAACCTCAGAACCGTAAAGCGAAGACTTCTCTCACCTTATCCGCTCACTGCTCTTGCCAGTACCAGGTTGGTACTTGCCGTGTTCTACTTCAATCTTCTTGCTTGAGATTACTTTACGCAGAGACTTGGCATCTTTATAGATCTGAGAACCAGGTTCGTTAAAAAGACAAGCATTGCGAGTCATTTGCAACAGATCCTTCTCCAACTCTCCCAGATTTGAATACTGGTTCTGCTGAATTTTAGTTGCAATCATTTTCAGGTCCACAGGATTGTCTATTACTTCATAGTACTCGGGATATCGCTACATTGGAATAAAACAATAGTCTCAACATTAACAGACTCATTATCAGAACTACCAACACATGTAAAGAGAATACGTTAAATTTAAAGTCGTGCAATATTTCCTCCCCCGCACAGCAACATGTGAATAATGACGGCAGGCTCCAGACACACTCCTACACAGGTATTTGGCGTCGAGAAAATCAGTCGATCGCCTCTTCGATTCAATGAGGCAAATTCTC